TTAAATTATACAGTGAGACATAAATGTATATAACTTTTAATTAGCTTCTTTATTTATTGGCCTTTGTAATATTTACCTTATTTATTTTGTTGTCCTTTATAATCTTCAACTTTATCTTTTAATTACTTATATTTTTAAGTGTTTATTTATGTGCATGTTATAATATTTTTGTCTGTTTTATTCTTCCTTTGTATTTTTTTTTACTTTGGTTATTATACCTCGGCAGCCCGTCTGCAGCGGCCCTCTCTCGGCATAGCTGTGTGTGAAGGACCGCTGGCTATGATGGCGATTTTTGTTGTATTTCGCAAAGTTTGGCAAAGTCCCTACTCGCGTTCTAATGACTTCAGAGTCTCCTCCTGTAGATTCGACCGATGTAGTAAAATGCTAACCAACACGCTTCACACACGGCTATGCCGACAGAGGGCCGCTGCAGACGGGCTGCGGTTCGACCTGGCTGCCGTTAGCTTCGGAGCTCCACTGGTGCCGCGGTCCTCTCAAGTTCAGAACATTTTCTTTTAAATTACGCATTAAATCTGTGAATGGGCCATATGGAGATGCTTAAAAGTATAATGTTTTCGCCTCAAATAATCTTAAAATGTACTTTTATTGAACAACAGCAACAGAAAAGAGAACATTTAACTTAGTACTCTGAGCTCAGTCAGTTAAGAAGATGGCCGCCAAACAGTGGGCAGAAGTTGACTTTCTAGGAAACGCCCCCTCCTCATTTGCATAATGAGACAGAAATGTAAAAAGGGAAGGCAGAAATATAAAAAAAAAATAAAGGACAAAAAAATAAATAAGGTTAATATTACAAAGGCAAATAAATAAAGAAGCTAAATAAAAGTTATATACATTTATGTCTCACTGTATAATTTAATTTCTACTTACATTTATTTGTTTGTCGTATTTTTATTGCTTATATATTTATTGAGCATTTATTTATTTCTGTATTTAGTTTTAAATATGGCAAAGTTGGTCCTCCATATGTTCTTCTAGCCAAACCAAGAAAGAAAAAAAAAACGTATTGAACTAATAGAACTTACCACAAATAATACATTAAATAAAGAGTTAGCACTGGTGGAGTTACTGCTATCGCTGTAAAACTAGCTGGCTGCTTCATGTGAAAAGCCCGTTTTGGCAGACTTCAAAGAATAGCTGTTGATTTCTTTTCAATGACTCATACAGAGCTGGTCTGAGTACAGAGACGTGCTGTGGGGAAAATGTTAAAGCGTCATCGGACAAGCCTTTTTATCAAGTAGAAAAACAGCTCTGTGTTGTCAACCTACTTAAATGAAGCTAGACGGCACCTGAAAAGAACAAACCATGCTGCCTGAGCCCCGTGGTTTTGCCCTCATTGCTAAAAATAACATCTCTGGCTGCAGGAAGAGGAGAACGGACAGAAGAGAGTATTTCTGATTATACTCTGTGCGGTTTTAGGTGATTCTCCCCATAATCATCACCTCTTGCTGCCACTGAACACCATAAGATACATTTTTCATTCAGTCAACTGGATCCTTGGGTCTGAAAACTGAAATTTAGGAGTAGAAATTTTACCACAGGAAGCATAATTCTATTCGTGTTTTGCATCTAGCCCATTTGAAAAGCATTTTGTTGAACAGAGATAGGTGAGAAGAATGACTCAGTAGCAGATACTACCTTTTCACAGGCTCCATTGCTTCAAAACAGTGCAAATTTAATTTGGACTCATTAGCAACCCTCCTGAGCGCTTCTGTCTCATATCGCAGACACAGCCTCAGAGAGTTGCGTGAGTGCGTGTGTGAGACAGCTTCTTTAATTACCCAGGTAATACAGCCAGATGCTCCATCACTCTGGCAATGGCAGTGATTAAAAGCAGTAAAATATTCATATCAATCAGACTCCCACATGCCACATGTATAATTAATGCACAGCGGAAAGACGTGGCAACTTTTACCACAACCAGACGTGCCTTTCTGTCACCATATTCCCTGCGAGCGCCACAGACGGCAGCTGCCTGAGTGTTGCTGTGTGTTTCTGTGAAATGGAGCTGAGGATGAGCCACTTTGAGCGACTCTCTGCAGGGAGGTCAAAGGCCAGGCAGCTTGCACACCGGGACGTCATTCAGCCACCTACACAGCAGATGTGCTGGGCTGCACTTTCGCTGGCCTGACTCTCTGGGAGTGTTTTTGTTGGGGGAAACAGCATCCTGAGTTTGCCGACTAGCAGGCATCCTGCCTTCTCTGGTGGGTGTGCTGCATCCTCTTGCTCCCATCTTCTCCTTCTCAGCAGTTCTCTGCTTGTCAATACCTCAAAATACCTGCAAGCCCTTTGTCTCGGGTCTCAGAAGCCGTCTGGTGTCTCCGGTGGGCGGAAGGAAATACAAACAAAACAAACTGAGACTTGAGGTGAATTTATAGACATAAAACAGATATATGACTTTCACATTTTTGCCTGAGGCTCTGTTTGTTTGCAGAGAGACTTCAAAGTCAAAACCTGCGCGCACAGCCTCCGTATAGTGACATGTAGAGAATCAAACGTCTTGATTTAGATTAAAAGATTTTGTCGCTCACACTCTTGAAATGAAATACTTCCTTTCTCCTGTCAGACCCTGAGGTTCAATTTAGCCTGTTTTCTATTTCTGTGCTCTCAATCTTTCTTACTGTTGTCTCTTGGTTTTCCTTGATTAAGCCTTCTGTTGCCGTCCAAGACTAAGCTACAATTACTCACTCTGCTGTGTGTGTATTGCATCTGGCTTATTACAATTACCTCTGGGTGTAAGTGTGTCATCTGTTGCCTGCTCATGTTCCAATTTCTCCCAAGAGCGGCGAGGAAAACGCCTGCCTCACTGTGCACTCAACAATATGACCAGGAGAGAGGAAATCTGTATTACATGCTGCGATCCTGCTTCTTTCTAAGTTTTATTTAACAGCAGCACATATCCAATAGGTGTTTCAGAACACGCAGATTGCCTTGCAAAAGTATTAATATCTAACTGAATTTTTTTATCTAAACAGGGAAATTATAAAAGCATTGCAAACATACGGAGAGATATTCAGAGAAGCAGCCAAAATGCCTTTGGTAGCTCTAAGCAGGGGTGGGTTAAGGAAATTTGGGGCCCTAGGCAAAGACAGGCAGGGGGCCCTCTGAATTGAGAAGACAACCCATCAAACAGACCCATTATATAGATATAGACATTTGCATAGAATAGACATACATTATTTGTGTGCATTTTGTCCCTTTTCTTCTTGTTTTCCTCTCTATCTTTTGTACTCAGCTGACTTTTCATGCTGTCTCTAAAGGAATGAAAGATTTTTTCCAAGCACTAAGCTCACGTAGCTGATTGCTCCTTCCTGTGTTTCCAAAAAGGCCAAAGTAAATAACCCAGTCCTTCTTTTCACTGTAGACAAGCCATGATCTGCTTATCTGTTCTCCATTTTTCATTTGGATGAAATAATAGCTGCATGAATCATGACAGCAGACAAGATAGAGGAGAGCAGGAGGCGGGGTTACCAATCTACTCGCTCTGGAGAGCAGAGTTCGCTGCTTTTAGATGTTGTCTCCAAAGTCTCCAGTAGCAGAAAAAAGATCCTAGATTTGGCGCTAGGAGCTTTTTAGAAATCAAAGTGCTAGAGGGGTCTGAAAAGTGGCTAAATATAGCGACTAAAGCGCTAAGTTGGAAACACTGCTCTTCGCATCGTTTGTTTTCAAATGGTTTGCTGCTGTCTGTTTGGACCTTTCTGAACATGTGCAGCAAATGGACTGATCCAATATGGTGGACACCACATCAGTGCCTTCAGAACGCTTATAATATTTTAAGCGTTCTGATGGCATTTTAGCAAAAGGATTTTTATCAAAAACATAATGTGTAGAAATAAGGAATAGTTGTATTAAACATACATATAAACAGAGTTTTATGGGGCCCCCAGGAATTATTGCCTAATGATAAATCCCCCCTGGCTCTAAGGAAGTCATAGCAACTAATAGTCGTGCAAAAACTGGTGAGAAGCGACTGTTTACAGAAATGGCTTCTAATCATAAAGCAATAGCATGACTCCCAATGCATTGTTTTAAATCAATTGTGTGCTCATGTGCAACAGTGACCCAGTAAAGTCCAAATTTAAATTGGAAATCAGTGGCAAGACTTGAAAGCCAATGTGCAATAACTCTTTGTCTAATCTGATTAAAACTGAGCCTTTTTAGCATTTTGAGTTGGTGGAGATGAGGCCAACAAAACCCTGCAGCTGTAGGTGCAGCTTAGGGTGGTTCCTCATAACATTGACTGAAAGAACATGAAAGCTTGTCAAATGTTTCAGGTTTGCATTTGTAAAAACATTAGAAAAGCCCAATAATGTCCTTTTTACTTCACAATTATTCTCTATTTTATGTTTGCAAGTTAGATAAAATCTAAATAAAACAAATTCCCATGTTTGATTGTTACAGGAACTGTTGAAAAGGTGCAATAAATGTAAATACTTATGAAAGCCAGAGTAGATATGACAGGATTGATCATGTATTCAAGAAGCTGGTGCTTGTAGCAGTTGGCAGACATTACAAAGGAGCAGCATCGAGGCCGACTCTGGGGAGTTTGATGGCTTTCATCTCGCTGTGATTGGCTGGTAGTAATATTTTATGAGATTTCCAAACATTACATCTTTATAATTAGCTGTGAGAGGCCAGCAAGGAGGCAATCTAGGAATCTAGAAGTGTGACATCAATATGTAGACATCAATAAACATCCCACAGAGCTAAACACTCCGAACTCACTGTTTAAAAAGCATTTCCTTCAGAGCCTAACCGGCTGGTGTGACTTTTGTTTGGCAGCCAAACATTTCACTCGCACAACAGATATGTTCTGATTTCTTCCTTTTATTACTTGTTGCTGCAGATTTTAGGCTTTCAATTACTGAAAGGGGATTGATGTGCCAGAGGAATAAAAATAGGTAAATTAAAATGGCTTCAAGTACAGTTTAAGTTTAAATAAAAGTCATAAAAGGGAATATATTGAACTGCTGAAAGAAAACTTTGGTTTTTAGGATTTTTGTTTCATTTATTGCATCTATTGAAAGCAATTGCACACCATATAATCCATTAGAGATATAGTTTCTTAAACAGACCCTTTGCTGCTCCGGATAGCTGCTCGAGCTGGAACTTCGGCCGGGTCTGCATCTAAAAAGCATAACTTAAATAAAATCATTTTCAGCGATGATAACACAGCAGTAGAATTTGATTTCATGGTGTTTCCAAGTGTACCATTTAATTTCAGCGCACAGCCGCACATAAGAGAACAGCATTAGCTTTGAACCATAGCTGCCCTCCCCTGCTCCGTGCGTGACTGCTCCCCGAGGCTGTTGCTGTAAATATCAATGTTTTCTCACTATGCTTGCCTTGTTAAATAAGAGTTTTTTTTAAGAATCCCATGAAATTTCTTTCTCAAAGCTCGACGCCTTGACATTGGTATTCCCATGCAGGAGGCTGGGTCCTTAAACAGCCCAGCATCAATTTACCCGATTAAATCCCTCAGGCTAGAGAATGCATAAAGTGTGTGTTGCATGAGAATGCTGCGGTGGCAGCGAGAACGTAGATGTCCTCACCTCACTGTGGACGCAGCATCAAACATGCACACCTAAGTGCTTCTTCCCGGCTTTTGCCGTGCGTTGATGAATAATGCACATATTAATCTCACAAAGTATGGGAGCTCTGCTAATTAATGCAGCATTTCCCTGGTCAAGGTTAGCTGATTAAAGTGGCATCTTTATGGACACTAGACATGGATAGCATTGTCAATTTTGTTTTGTTGGCTTTTTGCCCTGTTTTTTTATTTATCATACTCCCAGCCACCTGTTGTTTTTAGAAAACGTTGTCAAGCATCCCCTTCTGAAGTAGCCTGCATCGTAATGGTTGGGATCTCCGTTCTTGGGCACTTAAAGCCCATTTTAAATGGCTCTATAAAGCTAAAGCACAGAAACAAAAGCCTTTAAGCTCTAGTAAGTTTTTCCAATAGAGTCAGTGGAGTTTGTTTGGATTTAACTCCCCTGCTGGCTGATGTTCTGCAGCACACGCTGGGATCCTTCCCCTGTAGCACTGGGCAGCGCAGACGTGACAGCAGGGACCCTATCTTTGTTTAACCGATCCGCTTTAAAAGCAGAAGGGAGTACAGTTTGAGAAAATGGCCGTCCTGCAGTGTCGGAAACTGTTTGCGGCTCCTGTATCCCCTCTAGCCCTCTGACCCCCTGCTCTTTGGCTTTTTCCAGCAACACATTGACGGTCTTTGAGAAGACAGCTCTAGGGTCAGTAGGAGGAAGCGCAGGGCATGCACAGGTTTCCCTCAGCTCCAGAGCCTGCACAGATAAACAAAACAAAAAACAGAGAGGGATAAATCTTTAATAAATCTCAGCTCTAAATCATTGCAATAAACCTAAAGACAGATGTAAAACTAAAGGTGCAACTGAAGGTTCTGAGCCCAACGTAACTGTTGTCTGTCCACTGTGAGGCAACAATAAACTCGATAATCTAATTTCTTTTAAAAATTAAAAACAGAAGCATGTTTTTTACCTCAATAATCAACCTGTTATGACTTTACTTTTCCATCTAGAATCTGAGGCAGCTTCTGCAGACACTCTTTTTTCATGAAGAAATTACTCAGTTTGCTTTGTTACAGAAAATAATCTGTCTTACCAAACTAATGTTTAGAATTAATAGAGCACAAAAAAAATTTTTGTAGTTTGTTTGCCATATATCATATAGTTTATCGTTATTGTAATAAATTTCTCATCATGATCAGAATTTTTATTTATTGTCTAAAGGAAAAAAAATGAATTTAAAAACTCAAAACAGGCAAATTTTTAGGATTTAAGTTACTATAACCACGCAGACGACATACAGCCATACATTATATTACCAGGTTACTATGAACCTTTTCAAACTCTGCATAGCATTAATAGAAGAAATCTGCCAAAATTGTTTTCAGAAAAATCAAGACAAAACAGAATTTATAGTTTTAGGACTAAAGGAAGAATTTTTAAAGTTAGAACACAGCTGTTGGTTAATGCAGCGATAAATATCAGGCTAAAATGTGGATGTAGTGATGGACTCAGACCTGAATTTTCAGAGAAACATAGAAACAGAAACACAGTCAGCCTTCTATCACCTGAAGAACATCTTCAGGATTAAAGCACTAAAGTCTCAGCAGGATCTAAAAAAATGAATTCATGTGTTCATCTTTAGTAGAACTGAATACTTCAACAGTTTCTTCACAGGTCTGCGTGAAAACTTACCCTGAAATCCCACATCCCCCCCTCACTGAGCTCTATTTATTCTGCTGATTGGCTGAAAAAAGTGAAGCCACTGTCCGCCATGCTGGTACTCCCCACTCCCAAGGAGACATGCATTAAAAATGCCTCTATGTGCAGCATTTGGCTGCAAAAACAAGCAGTTTTCTGCTGTAGGAAGACGTTTCACATTTTATTTCCCAGTCAGTGGATAAACTAACTAATACATCTTTATATACGCTGATGGATCCTGTGGTATAGGATGTAGAGTAACATTAGTCTGGCTATCTCAGACTGACTCAAAGATATTGACTGAGTTAGCCATTCACGTTGTGTCTAACGTTAGAAAATAAAAAGTAGAGTAAATATAAAGTAATTCAATCTGTTTTTTTTATGCATATATATTTATTTATTTTAATGTGAATTTACAACATGTGTAAGTTATTTTAATATAGTTGTTCAATCATTGGATAGTGTAAGTGTCTGTGTGTATAAATACTTGAATGTATATTTTTTTCAAATGATCAGATTCGGGTTGTAACTATGAGCAAAAAGCAAAATATGAACTTGTTATTTTACCAATTTAATAACTCTGTGGAGTTTTAAATAGGTTCATTAATTTAGCTGCTTTGTAAATCTGTCAGATTTGAACGCTGATGCAAAGACACGGCAAAAGAGTATATGACGTCATGCAATGCACAATTTGCAAATAAAAAAATATTATAGCATTAACAGACAGATACTTGTATTTCAGTCTTCATGTAAAATCTTGAAATTATATCCATCAATTTTCTGTCACGCGTCTCCCAAGTGGGGTGGGGAGGGGTGCCGATCTCCACCTGTCTACGAGCGAGAGGCGGGTCCACCCTGGACAGGTGGCCAGTCCATAGCAAACAGGACAAACGACCATTCACTCACTCACACCTTCAAGATCTATCTGTTTAGAGTTGCCTTTGATTTTGTTACATAAACACATATTTTAGTCAAACTTTCTTTGCCTGCATTTAATTCACATCTTCCCCCTTTAGTTTATGAATAATCTATTATGAATCATTTTATGTTTTCATTAATAATTGTATTATTTTTAATTACCGTATTTTCACGAGCATAAGGTGCACCGTACTAAAAGGCGCGTCAGACCCACTTTTGCCCCGCGCAGCCAGAGCAGCAAAGTCAGAACTAACTGGTACAAGCAGCAAAAATGAAGCAGCAGACGCGTGAACGCAGCCTTACTTTGAACGGCCGGTTCACACCGATGTCGAGCGGTTGGAGTTCCTTTGTCAGACCTCCCGGAATAACAGCGAGCACAGCGTTCATTTGTTTCACCATGTTTTTCACATCGGCTGTGAGATGGGCATGCATGGAGTCACAGATTAACAGTGATGGTGAAAAACCACCTGGTCTCCTTACTGTACATTCACCTCCCTCAGCCACTCTTTCATCATCTCCTCAATGAGGAGATGAGGCTTCTGCATAAAGCACATACCTGTTCTTTTATACACAATCCACGCCCACACTTCCCCCTTTAACGTTCTCATGGCGGTCTCAACAACGTCCGCAGTAACAACGCACACAGGGGAAAAAAACACGTTTATATGCGCCTTATAGTCGCGAAAATACAGTGGCTCAGGTTATCCTGATCTATCTCTATAGTTCTGCTGCTATAGGCTTAGACTGCTGGAGGACATAGGGACCCCTTTTTCATCATTCTGCTTCATTCTATCTCTATTCTCCCACTCTGCAGAATCTGTTAGTTCAATCTCTAACGTTCTGCTCTCTCTGCTTTTTCTCATAGTAGCTTCATCTGGTCTGTTCCTCCCTGGCTGTGACCAAGTCATTTTGTATACACAGAGTGTATACAAATTTACAATGAAAGTTGTCTAAGTCTAATTAAGTCTAAATGACTTGGTCTTGGTAGGTTCGTAGCTGTTCCATAATCATTATTAGCTAATAAAGTCAACAGGTAGAGATGTTTAAAGCTTGGTCAACATTAAGGCTGAGGTTAAATTCCACAGTTGGATTTTTATTGGTAATACAGGAGGTCTGAATATAGTTTAATCTAAAAATGCAACCCAACTCTATAAGTTGGTATTTATAAAATATGTAGAAAACTATATGCATTTTTTATTCCACCCTCTGTGGCTGCTACAGGAGAGAACGTGGAAAAGTTGAACAGGTGTGAATACTTTGCAAACACAGTGTGCAAAACCATGAATAAACACAAACTTGGCAGCCTGTCCCTCTCATTCTACCTGTGGACATAATTTGGTTTGCTTAAGGATGATGAGCACACTTGTGGAGGAGGAGTGGCCCTCAGAAGAGTCGGGTTAAGTAGCTCGAGGCTGTCACCCCTTCGCAAGGTTAAAAACATCAAATTATGCATCACTTGCAGCTGATGGAGCTCAGCTGTTAGCCGGTTCATCTGTGCTGCTTGGTTGGATCAAACTGTTTGGTGCGGCCAGGGTGTTATATTATCACACCAGAAGCAGAGCGTTATCAGCTCGCACACACAAACAATACCCCCACTGCAGTCTTCATCACTTCACTGCCTGCAGCTACATCCCGGCCTCCACAACAACTGCTGCTAGAGGTCAGCCCGTCTCACAGGGAGGCAAGTGATGCACAAACTCCACAGCTTAGCTACCTGATGGACAATTAGAGGTTTGCCCATCTGTTCAACTTTAGTGCTTGGAGGCTCTGATGAAGCGACAGTATTCCAACTACAGCAGCACTTAGAGCTACATAGAATCCTCAGAGGCATTTAAACGCCCATCCGTGTATCTTTGTTTTTCACAAAACCTGCCATCTTCATTCACTCCTGCTTTCTCTTTAGCCTTAAGATATCATTGATTGCCTTTGCACTGTGCCAGCAGTGTCCCATCCTGTGAGACTAAACGTCTAACGATGAGGATCCAGAAATTCAAATCCTATACAACATTTTTCTTGTTCCAAGTATCCGGGGCTTGGCATAAAAAAAAAAAATGTTTTCCTGTCTTCCTAAGGCCCCGCATCCTTCGCTCTCCTTCCCCAAGTCTCTGCTTCCTCTGTGGCTCCCTCTCCGTATCTGCAGGTGGGTATACATCTCTCCAGATGCTTCATTAGCTCCAACATAACATCTTATAAAAGCACCTAAAGCTACAAATTATGTCCAAAGAAACAAACATGAAACAAGAATAAAAAACTCTGACTTTGGTTTGTGAGTTGAGACAGTGAATAAATTCTTCCGCAGACACAACCGTCAGCAGTTTGTTGAGTGTAAGCCAACCTGTGGTACGAGCCGGTCCATCTGACTGGAGCGGTTCCTGTGTGAGGGGTGTGTAGACAGCCACTCGGACATGGTGGGATTCCCTGTGAGTTTGTCTACGATTTCCAGCTGCTGCCAGAACACAGGGCCTGCTCGCACATCTGCACAGGCCTGGGAGGAAATCAAAATAAATAAGATATATATCAGCATACAGCTCTTAATCAAAAAGACATCTAACTAAACAATGTGAGAATAGAAAGCCCATTTTTGAAAAGCTGCATAATTGTTGTTTAGTTTGACAGCAGTGCCCCCTAGTGTCTCACAAGTAGATTATAAAATATCTGATTAGAGTTTTTTTCTTATACAGTGTAGATTAAAAAAATGGCATCCATTGTAAAGGTTTGTGAAAAACACAAATGTAGCCAGGTAGCCTCCTTAATGACATCATTTATTGACTAAACGTTATACTGTAGCTTCTCCTCGTTCAGGTAACTTTTGGCTTTCGATAAAAGCCTTCAGACATAACATTAAAGGAATAGTACACCCAAAACATGATTAGCCTTCATTTTCTACTCACCCCCATGCTGAACAACACTCTGGAGTACTTTTTTGATATCTCAAATGCATCTGGAGATCTGGGAGGCTTCTTGCTGTCTGCTGACATTCAAATAATGGAGGTCTATGGCGCCCGAGGCAGAAAGGTCCATAAAAGTCCACAAAAAACGTGTCAATATTCCTCCATACTGCTCGTCCAATGTATTCCAAGTGTCCTGAGTGGGTAGCATCCAGAATTTACTCGAAACGAAGTCATTTAGAATGTTTTTAGAGCATAAACAGTAGTGTATAGGATTTCCTGAAAGCGCGTTCACGAGCCTACGGAAGACGGCAGACCAAACCAGATGAAAGTGTGCATTCAGCATGGGGGTGAGTAGAAAATGAAGGCTAATCATGTTTTGGATGTACTATTCCTTTAATATAAATCATCCTCATTACCTTAGCAGCTAAATGCATCCCAACTTCATCTGCCTCAGCCTCCAGCGACCGACTGTAGGGATGGTGGAACATCAGCTGCAAAAGTGGAGTCACTTTTAAAACTTGTGTAGCCGGAAGTCTTGGAAATGTTGCGTTATTTTTTCCCCCTTTTTCCTAAGTTTGATACCCTGTAGCTCCAAATATTCAAATGACTTAGATAATGAATAGTAATACCTCACCTCTATGAGCTTGTCCTTTGCCCACCCTCCCAACAGTGCCAAGCTGTCTGTAGGACACAATGCCCAGATGGCTGTCACCAGAATAAGAGCCAGGAGGTCCACGACATGAGACAGGCTGGCCTGTTCCGCCTGGAGGGAGTGGGGAGAAAAGGAGCGAGGATGTGAAAAGCAGGGATAAGAAAAGAGAGAGTTTAAAACTTTCTGCAGAGGGAATGAGGCCGCTGGAACATATTGATTGTTCTCATCTATGTTTTTCGCTGCAACAGATTTAGAGGTTTTAAGAGGCAATCCATTACAAGGCACTAACTTTGTTACATCGAGGTCATCCATGTTCATTCCCTTCAGCTAATTAAAATCTCCTCCAAGCATCTCCTCCCAGGGCATTTTAAGACTTAAAATACCCAAAACTTTATTAGAAACTTTTAGAAAAATAAAATGAGTTCATATAACTGGAGGACAATATTTGTTGCAAAACAAATAAATAGAAAACAGCTAAACCAAAACCTCTGTGCTGTTTGGAAGGGATTGGAAGTGATCTTAAACATGTGCCACAGTCAACATAATGCCGCTCAGATAGAGCAGAAGATGAGGTGTTTTTAACGCATACCTCCCTACATGACATATATCACTGTTTTTTAAGGGAACAATGAAAGCAGCATTAGATTCATGCACCACAAGGATGTAATAGGACAGTTTGTGCTTCAAAACATGGACTGCCGTCGCTCTGACTTGAACTCAGATATGAGGACCTCTTTACACTGACACCTCTAAATAAACTCCAGGGTAACAAACAGGAGGCACCTACACGCCTGCCTACGGGGGGGGGACCAAGGGGTCAAAGTTAATTTTGCGGCAAACTAAGGTTTTCAGAAGTCCGCCGCACAGAAAAAAAGAATAAAAGGGAAGATGACACCAAAGGCTTGATGGGATTTTAGGAGTAAATATTAAAAATAAAGTAAGGATGAGTCAGGAACAGGTCCAGGAAAGGAATTGCAGAAGAATGACGCCCATTCAGAGCCAGCTAAGAAGCAAAGGGTTTATCAATGTGATTTTAAAATATAGCATCCGCTAGCTTAGCCTCGTGAGACCATCCTGATCTCGCGAGCTTTCAAGGTTTCACTCGCAGATCAGTCTGGAGACTCTCCGTTAAAGAAAATTTGGAGCAGTTCATCAAACGAACGTCCAATCAGCGTTGGCTTTGAGGCGGGTTGAGGTGTGACGCAACGAGAAGCGCGACAGTTCAGTCTAAAGAACATGGCGGCTTCAGCCGATGAAACTAGCGTTAGCGTGGCTATCGAGCAAGTTTTATCGGAATTACAGAGTATTTCTTCACTGAAAGAAGAGCAAAACACTGCTCTGGAGGCTTTTCTCAGAGGAAAAGATGTTTTTGCTCTTCTCCCGACTGGTTTGATCTATCAATTGGCTCCTCTTCATCGTCGCTCTGTTAGTACGTCATATGCTTCGTTGATCTGATTGGTTTATTTGTCTATCACCAACATAGGCCAATCAGCTAACCAGTATTTTCGCCCCTTCCCAAAATTACTTCAATGGAAGGTTTCCAGATGGATATGCGGAGCAACTCCATCTGGCGGAGTCAGGTTACCGCTAGCTAGCGTAAGGGAGAAAACCCGTTTTACTTTACAGAAATACTTGAGCTTGAGGACTAGGTGCAGGGTGAAAGACAGAGGGAGCCTTTCCTAAAAATGGCAAATGAACTGCCAGCAGATCCAGAGGGCATAGAATTTCCTAAGTATCTAACCTATTCTACCTCCAACAATGGAAAGGAAACAGTTGTTAAAGACTGGCTGAGAGGTGTAGAGGGGGGGCCCAAGAAGACTGTGTTGTCCCGGGCCCTAGCAAAGCTGTCAGCTGGCCTGGGAACCTAAATTGCCAAAAGAAAATATGCGTTTTTTTCTTCTTTTTTTGTGTAAAATACAGATTTTCCTTGAAAGCCTCACAAGTTCTTATGGAACATTAGTGAACAAACAGCCTAATGAAAACCGAGGAACACAGCAGATGGACCAGGAAGAGAGGTGGGGAGAATCTTAAAGCAGGATGATAGAATAAAACAAAACCAAACCAAAAAAAAAGGTTTTAACACTAAACATATTTCAAATATTAGACAAAGCACAACAGTAAACATGAGTTAAACTATCACCAGTAAATGTGACTTAAATAATGTTAGGATTACTTCTATTGATGATGTGTGAGTCTGTTAAACCCTAATATTAGCTGCCTGTTGCGTGTCAGAACTCATGTTTTCCTCAGTAGTTTATATAATTAGGACAGTTCCTCTGTAAGACTAAAAAGTCATTTTCATTCTGTCCGTGGTAAAGATTTGTGAATGGAATGAAGGCGGTGTCCTTAATCTAATAACAAAGTGGAATATTTTGATAAGGCTGGAGCCATGGATGTTTCCTCATTTATAAACATGTATGATGTAATGATGTGATGATGTGGCAGACTGGAGATTTATAAAATGCTTCTTTAACTGTGATTCAGGTCTGATGTCACAAGAAGCGAGCCCGGTTGCTAAGCCCCGCCTTCTGGAACTCTAAGCAACTTCTATGAACTGAGTAAGATTACAATTTCTGTCAATATCTGTCATCAAGTCTCATGGTTATTTAATACATATACATAATGAAGTGTAATTTAAAGAATTTGTCCCGAGTGATCTCTTCTAAAGAAAGAATCTTAAAGGTGTAAACACAGAGCTTTCCTGGATAATCAATTCTGCCAAAGTTAGAGGACTTACTGAATGGTCCAGTATAGCATGAGCCATTTCATGTCCGAGTACGATCATAAGCTGGTCAACATCTGCCACAGCTCCCAACATCCCGGTAAAGACAAATACTTTTCCATTCTACAATAAGAAAGCAGCAAATATTATGAACATATGAGTCCAACACTGTGCGGCAGTGACAAAGGCCACGAATAAGAGAAAAAGTTTTTGGTTTGTGGTTCTTTTAACTCACAGGAAGGACAAAGGCGTTGATTTGAGGCCCTTCGACCACATGGACACTCCAGGGAACTTCTGACACTTCAGGGATGTCCTTGTTCCTCTGTGCTAGGAGCTGCACCGACTGCTCCACCATCTGGTGAAGAGGGTCAGTGACAGGAAGCAGCCTCTCTGCAAACTCCTCCAGGTGCTGAAACAACAAAGTCATTTTAGTCCCAATATAATCCCTCTATCACCACCCATCACTGTAGAGCCCTGTGTGCTGTTTTTTTTACTTAATTTTTATTTCAATTTTTGCAACTTACATAGACATAAACATACTTATATTTATTCTGCTGTTTTTCACTTACAATATACTTAAAACAACTTTGAAAGTATAAAGCATCGGGTGAAACTTAGGAGTAAAGCAGGTTACATGATTAAACATGAGTAACATAGCAAATATATAGATATAGTTGGTAAATTAATAAGCAGCGCAAATGGAGATAAATGAGTGAAATAAGAATAAATAAATAAAAATATAGATAGAAAGGGAGAAGTATAAAATAGAAAAGAGAAAAAAAAAAGTTTTTTTAAAAAGCGCAGCATTAGTCATGCATCCATAGTCAATTGGCATGCCCAAGACGTCAGATTTGCTTTTCTCTCTTTAGTTTTGTACGAAATATAGACTTTTATTTACCTCAGCGGGTGTGTATCTCTTTAGTCATATACAAAAAAAAAATACAATTTAAGGTCAGATCGCCATACGCTTCAAAAAACACCAAAAAATAAGTAATTCGATTTTTTTTAAAGGGATAGACGCACGATGAGGTATTTTAAAGTGTATTTTTCGTACAAAACTAAAGAGATAAACAGGTATTGGCTATGGGTATGCTGGTTTGATGTTCATCTGAAAGAACACCAGTTTCCACCTATTAACAAATATATCTTTTTGAAGCCTCAAACAATAAATTATTTGTTCCATATGGTAGATTTCCGAGACCTTTTCAATCCACATGTTGTACGTTGGTCGGTCGAGCTTCAACCATTGAACTGTGATACATTAAAGAGCCACAATCAGTAATATTTGTAGAAGGTATTCTTTTTTTCCTCGTTAAGTACTATCATTTGGTGAGTGTGGCTGATTCTTAATAGGGTCTGAGTAAAATGAGTATTAAGTATTTGATTTTAATTTTTGATAAGCTTGATCTTCTAAGTGTAGTGATTTGTGTTTCTCCTCATTTCTCACCACCTCTGAAGTCAGAGCTGCCAGCTCCATGTACTTATCCCTGCTGAACACCAGGAGGCGGAGCCGTCCTGTCACTGGGGACTCGTCCAGGTGTGTTAGGAGCAGAAGGGCCACAATTACCAAAGTAACTCCTGCCCCTGCTGCCAGATGCCAGCGGCGCCTCCGGATCCATTCATGCATGAGCTGTCGGCGGTTGTCTGGTAAAGCCACCCACCATTTCCTTACACTCCTGCACAGAAAGAAAAAACAGGCCTCCTGCAGTCATTGCACAATCACATATGGGCCAGTAGTGCTCAACACAATAACTCAGTCATATTAAGCGTCTTTTATGTTGGAAAAAATACCATCTCTTTGGTAAAAAGTGAAAAACACAGGACTTATAAGATAGACTGAGATCAAACATGTAATCTTCAAACAGGCGGTGGTGGGCCGGCGATTGCTATAGGCGAGCTAGGCAATTGCCTAGAGCGACAAATGTGTTGGGGGCGCCCTCTAGCGTCGCCCTTAGGCTTACTTCCCATTAATCATAGAATTAGAAAAAAAAGCGAATTAAACCGGTTATGAAGCGTCCGTCAGTTTGACTTAACCTTACGTATATATAAATAGCAAAATATAAACAAATAAATATACCACCGTTTTTTTATTTATTTTTTCACATTTAAGAGAAAATCGGAAAAGATTCTGATCACTTTTCAAGCGCCCTCCAACCCGGAAGTCATGACGTCAATCACTGCAGCATGTACACCAATATTTTGGAATGAAATTGTAAGCAAACAGATATTAAAAGTAAAACAAGTGAAGTCTGGCACTTAACTCTGCTCGCGACTCGAGAATGGCTGAACGGAAAAGACTCCTCCTCCTGCCGCCGCAGTCGGGCCCGTCTTAATCATCCACTCAGAGTACCACTGGTAAGCGCGCACACAGACTTTGTAGCTTGTCCGGTCAGTTAAAAATAGTAATTGTGAAATCCGTCTTGTAATCGGAAGCATACAAGCTAGTTAGCTTGAAAAGTAAATAAAGTTTCAGACGTGCTGCGTGATGATGTGTTCAGATTGGCTCCGTAAAGCGACAATTAGGTTATCATGATGCGTTGAAGTGTAACGTAAAGAAAACGGGAAATTTTGTTTTTGGGGAGAAACATGAGTAATACAGTTGTATATTGCTCTATATATAATTAAACTACTGATGCCAACATTTATTAAAAATTACATTTAATTTAAAATACAATTATTTATTTGTTAAATATTTTCCTAATCACTAAAAACATGATGAAAAGTGACAGTAGACAATACATTAACCAACAATTGTGAAAATATATTCTAGTTAGTTTTATGTCATTTCGAAGTGGCCTATTACATTAGCCATGTTTATTGAAGGCTAGAAACGTTTTTGTTATGCTCACTTGTTAAGCAATAGAAGCAATACCAGTTCTGTTAAAAAAATTTTGTTGCATCGTCTTTCCACCAAATAACAGAAAAGTATCGATAGTGGTATCGATAAAGACTCGGATCGATAAGGAGTATCGATAAAGGTATCGATATCAATAAATATTAACGATCCCCATCCCTAATGTTGACATAATTTTTTTCTCAGTATATATGCAGCAGAATTATGTGCTATATTATTAGCTTGAGAATGGGTAGAAGATACTAATATAAATTAAATATTTTGTAGTGATTATCTGCATTGAGTATTCAAAAGGGATGTACAAATAATCATCAAAATATATGAAGTTATGGCTGTTCATCATAGAATATGTGAACCAAAAAAAAACAACAACTTCAAACTTTTAATTTTGTAATGGTATTCATAAAAGCACTTTTGTTTGTAGAGGGTTAATCCTTTCTTTAATCACTAATCAATGTCAGAAATCAGGGTAAATATACCTGATATATTTTATTTAGCGGAAAATTTAGTTTATCTCATTTCTATTTATGTTCAAATGATTTAATTGAACTGGAACAGAAAATTTAATTTAATGTTTATCAATTACTTTTTTATGTAGTCCTTGGTTGAAGAATTTCTTAAATTTATTATTTTTTATTGTTATTTGGTAATTTCTGAAAGTGATTTATTTAATATTTGTTTAATGTGTGTTAAATTTGTTAATTGTCTGAAATAAATTCATTCAATGATTCAATCCAGTTTTTTAGTTATACTTTACCTAAGTGTCCTTACAGATGGTTAAAAGTGTTTTTGCACAGTCCTAACTTTGAGTGTGTAATAAATTATTTAAAATAATAAAAAAGAAAAGGTACTGAAACCTATTCTGGTATTTGTCTATGCATCACTCCATGCTAAGTTACAGTTTTTTTCTGAATGCTTAAACACAACCTTGATTCTTAAAGCACAATTTCTAAAACTATTAATACTTATAGCAAATCCACTCACTGAGTTCACAAAACTAAAAGAACAAACACTGCTTTGCACTCAATTTGCAATTTTGTAACACACACTTTGCACAACTGTAAGCACAATTCACCGCACAGCACTCTTTGTGGAACTGTAAACACAACTCAATGAAGCACTAAACAGATGCTGAAAACAGTACTGGTATTTCGCACGGCAAAAGTGAGGGGGGGGGCGCAAAACTAAATCTCGCCTAGGGCAACCAAAGGGCTAGAACCGGCCCTGGGTGGTAGGCCCAGGGTCTGCTCAATCCTCCCAAAGTGAGAACCGGAGCACCTGGTCCAGGTCTCACTTCTTTTGAGGCTTGAAAAAAGTTTAGATTTTATTATTCCAATTAAATTCACATTCTTATTTCAGCAGCAAACAGATGTCTACTGGTTAAATTATTTCATTTTTTTAAATGGCAAATTGCACTGGAACTTACCCTATAATGTTTTATAAATAAAAAAAAATATGTTTTTTTTTTAAGAAATGTGTTAATAAATAATTAAGAAGTTTAAATTATTAATTTTCAATTAAATTCAGTTTATTTCTATAGCGCCAATTCACAACACGTTATGTCAAAAGCACTTTACAGTTCACCAGATCCTTCAGTCAAGTAGATTCAAAGTTTTCTATCTAAGGAAAACCAGCTGATTGCATCGACTCATTGACTCTTCAGCAATCCCTCACACTAAGCATGCTTGTAGCGACAGTGGAGAGGAAAAACTCCCTTTGAACAGGAAGAAACCTCCAGCAGAACCAGGCTCAGTGTGAGCGGCCATCTGCTGAGGCCCACTGGGGTTCAAGGAGACAGAAGCAGACATAGAAAAAGAAGCATAGATACAAACGGCTAACTTAATCCTTATTTATCTTGATATACTGTATATATATTGTTTATTCTTAATGCATCTTCTTTAATTACTATGCCAATATGTGACCAGTGAATTTCTCAGCTGTGAGATCAATAAAGCTCATCTAATCTAATCTCATCTAATCCAAACGGCAACTGTCAACCAGCTTAGGTAGACAGTTGCTTATACATACATATATACATATATATGTACATATTATTTAGTGCAATTATTTTTATTTTTTTTATTTGAATGCTTTATTCTATTTTATTAAAATAAAAAGTTTTGAAGAGTTATAGCTGTTTTTATATCTTTTTATATTTGTATTTTTTACTGTAAAATTCTTACTGTTGTGTTTGTAGGTAGAGAATTTTAAGATCTTTCCAGGGACATCAGATGAAAAATAGTATTTTGGTGAATGCTGGTAAATTTGAACATGCTCCTTAATCAACCCTGTCCCTGCCAAATAAATAATCTATATCTATGTGTTCCCTACCTTCCCAGGAGGATAGCCAGAAGCTTCTGCAGAGGTTTGAGCAGCATCCATAGGAGGGGAGCAGGAAGGGCTCTCCTGGGGGTGGAGGTGTGGAAGTGGGGGCCCCACTGTGTCTGCAGGGGACCTGTCCGGGGACACGCTGTCCTCACGTTGCCACATCGCAAAAAAGACAGTCTAATCGCGCAGACTATCGAATTAGTAGGGGTATATTTGGCATAAGAACATATAGGGAATGAGTTATTCCTTAAATAACAACTGGTTCGCTTACAGAGCAGGAAGCTTCGAGTCTGATTTATCTGAAAATAAAAACGGCGAACGTTTCCTAAAAAGTTACCGATTACAAAGGCCATTGTTTCATTTAAAAGGTGCCACTTTACAGGACAGGAATGGTATCATTTCCGGTAACGGATACAGGTAAATATAACTTAGGGTGAAACTGTAATATCATCATTTTTCCAAGTTTATCGGTAACATTTTAAGCTGTATTTCCGGTTTTAGCTGTCAAAGTCATTACCGCCAGCCGGCTGGTAGCCCGTAACCTTGGTAACGGCTGTCCAGCGATGGCGGCCCTTTGAGGTTTTGGCGTAGAGTCAAAAGCTGAGCGATACAACGGCTTTATAAACCAAGATAAATAAGCCTTCTTATTCCTTAACGCCGCCCCTGCGGTGCTTCATTAAAAAATAGATGTTACGTAACTTTAGCGAAATTTTAGAGCAGATGTTCCTGCTTCGTAATGATTCCGACTAGAAACAGATTGCAACGTTGGTTCCTCTTCACATACAACCAGATTTAATACAAAAGTAATAGATTTAGAAAGTGGATAAACGCATTTCTTGTTGCTAATTTCTCTGAAAATAAAGAGTAGCTCTATAGATATGTTAATGATCTGTACTGGGCGTCATATAAGCACTCAAGAAGAAATTAATTCAGAGGTAATTCTTTGGCCTTCACAGAACCACAAAAGCTGTTACAAGTTTGTTAAGCTATGTTCTACATACTGTCAATTTTAAAAGTATAAAACTAAAACCATTGGAAAGCTGAAAACCTATTTACAGAATTCAGTACAGGGCCATGTTCATAAAAAGCTACAAAAACAATCACTATAAGGTGAAGGAAAGTGACTCCAGTTAAGACATAAACATGAAAAATGATTAAATAACCATTTAAATTATAGTTTTTGACACATCTTTTAATATGCGCAGCAAGGCAAGTTTCCCTTTGTTTTGAGTCAGGGGTGATTTTTGTCCCTGATGGAGCAGAAAAAGCTTGTGTCAGCTCTGAAGTCATAAGTGTCTCATAGTATATGTAATAAAAAATGTATGTAAATAAATAAATGTATAGATGCATTAAAACAAATATAAAAATAGTTTATTTGTAATATAGCCACAGGTATAGCCCCACACACACACTCAAACACAAACTTGGTTTCCAATTATTCAGAAAACTCTAGGGGGATATTAAGCTAAACGACAGTATTTATGTCGTTTAGCTTAAATCCGAGTCCCTCCTCATATCCAATTCTTTGCTGCATTAAACCAAGTCCCTTCTGACCTTTAACCATTTTAAACAAGAGGTTTCTACATTAAAATACAATCCTAAAGTATAAAACTGTATGTAAATGTTAATATGTTTACTTCAAACATTATTTCTGCTAAATAATTCAGTCAAAAACATCTAATATTTTCAAAGCAAATAGTCGTGCTCAGTTGTTAATACTGAGCCTAAATGCAAAACTGAGCCACTATTTGTTTCAGCCTCCTCCTCCGCCTTGTGGGACTTTTCCTGACTGATCAGATGATCCAAAGCGTCACCATCTGACTCTACGGGTTTTGAGATGTCTAAAGGTTTTCCGTCTCCATGAAATAAGGATTTCTGCTTGGAGATAAATTCTGACAGGAACAGGGACTGGATCTCAGAGAGGAAATGGTCTCCCTCTCCATCTGCCAGGGGTTCCAAGTGTCTGGCCAAAGACGACAACATCTAGAGAGAAAGATACGGCCGTGAGTGACTGAGAGAGTCACAGAAAGAACCAAGGAATCATATTTACCTTTTCCAAACAGGTGAGACTAGAGTCTCTGCAGAACAACCTGTCCATCTGCACGCTCCTGCCCAACCAGAACAACAAACTTTTTAGACACTGATCACACCAGTGGAGGGATTTCACTCCTGATTATCACTGACCCATGTGACTGGGCGTATTTCTGGATGATCCACTGAGCCCTCCTCATGGTCTGCTTCCAGTCAGGACGATTTTGTGATGACAGGAAGTTGAATCTGTACGGCAGCTCTGTGGAGGAACAGAAAGAGGGGAGAAAAACGGTGTCGCTGTGCGCAAAAAAACTAAATCTTTGACACTAAACTGCAGCTTGATTGTCAGGCCTCTTGATCGGAGTTGTTCTGGTGTTTTGAATCGTGTGTCGGTGTGCGCTTCACGTACTGTTTTGGCCGGAGGGCTCCTTGTTTTCTTTCACCAACAGGCAGGTGATTTGGGAGTGGGGTGAAGTGTTAGCGGAGTCATACGGGCTGACTATCATCCCGATGAAGGGGGCTCCGCCACGGGAAAAATAACTCTGGATAAATCAGATAGCAGACAAACAGACAGCATGTCAACAATTACCATACCATAAAATATATTCATACCAGCTAAACTTTTGTTTGTAAGGTCAGGGAAGAGATTTTTTTTTTATTTTTCTTCAATAAACCAGGAAAACAGCTTTGAGAAAGAGTGGAAATTCTGAAAAATATGAGCTCTATATTAATATAAAAATCCATAAATATGTTCTGTTAACTGGTTTCATAGATGCTGCCAATTAAACTCAGAGCTGGTAAACAGTCCATCTGTCTGCAACAGGGAAATAAAAGATAATTTAGAATAAGAAATTACCAGCAAGACATCAATAAACGAATTCAAACTTCTGAAATTACTTCAAATATGAAATTATTACATAATTTTTAATAAATGAAGTGTTTGTAATTAAGAAAAAACAAAACACAAAACCCCCAGACCTAAGATAAGCAGAGTGGTGTCTGCAGTTCAATGCAGTGAGGAATCCTCTGATCTTTATATTGGAGAAACCAAACAACCTCTCCACAGACGCATGGCCCAACACAGAAGAGCGCCCTCCTCTGGACAAGACTCTGCACCACATCTACACCTTATAGGCTAAGGACATTCTTTTGGACAGAGAAGATAGGTGGTTTGAGAGGGATGTGAAGGAAGCCATCTATGTTCAGAAACGAAAACCAACCTTAAAAGGAGGGGGTGGACCCAGTTTTCTTTTTTTTTATTTGTTTATTTGATAGGGACAAGTATGTTTCATGCATCATGTCACACACTACAACATTTTAGCTAAGGCTAATTCTCAATGCCTGTCCCCAGTTAGGCTTTTACACAAAACACAGTGACTGTACACAAGAACAACAGAACAAATTACACACTAAAACATCACAGAAATAAAATCAGGTCAGTTAGATTATTAATGTTTACATGACTGACCTCTCAATAAAAAGCCTTTAAGTTTATGTTTAAAAAGGACCCAGTTTGACTCTCCCTTCAGTTCTGCAGGTAATGTATTCCATTTATTGGTGCCTTTTACAATGAAAGCTGATTGACCGAAAGAGGTTTTGCGTCTGGGTACTTGACAGTTTCCACTGTGGGCTCCTCTTGTGACTGAGCCCACAGCTCTGAGAGGAACTACACAGTCACTCAAAACCTTAGGGGCCTTATCGTGCAAGAATTCGTAAACCAGTTTTAACTGAGCAAATTTCACAAAGTTCTCGAAATTCAGCATTTTTTAATTGTTCAGACTAACACAGTGATGGGACCTGATTGGTTTTTTTATCTAAGATTTTTATAGCTCTATTATATATCATCTGAAGAGGCTTGATGGTAGTGCTTGTGGCCTGTGACCAGGAACTAATGCAGCAACTCAGCTTTCAAAAACCTATAATTCAGAGATTAATTGATTCCTTCCTGCTATCATCACAACCCCAACCCCTTTAAGGGGGAACAGAAGACCTCGGCTCTTCAGCCGGGCCAACAATTCCCTTTAATGACCCCCCTTTCATAGACAGACAGATATTCGGGTATTACAGGCTTACAAAGAAACAACGACCCCCATTCCAAAGGTGTGGACCCGTTCATCAGGTTAAATATGCATGTTTTCTAAGCTAAAACAAGGCTTGATTTTGGTCTGTTCTATAAATGATCAGTGTTTTTAATTCAGAGTAATTTTCATGTGAATGTGCTTTACTGGAGGCATCCATGTTTGTCAAAGAACACTACTGCCACCTACTGGTTAGTGACGTCACGGTGCGGTATCGGCTGTAGATCAAGTCCCAGTGCTGTATCTGGTGTTTGTCACAACGCGCTATTATCCAAGTCATCTTGAAAACATTCTTCTTCCAAATGTTGGCTACATATTCCGGGGTTTTTCTCTGCCCAGAAGTTCGATGGCAAATCCTCCCTCTTCAAGTTGGCGATCCAACGACCAACCCGTCCGTGGAGGATCAGGAATCAGAAAGGTGGAATAACTCTTTTTTTTCACTTTTACCCGATGTATTCCAGCATCCAGCTGCCATGCACGTGGGCATTGTCAGTTTCACTATAGCTCTGGTGAATTTCAATGGTGAAGTCCTCTGGAAATCTTCAATAATTGTTGTTGATTGCAGATGTGTCTAGTAGTTCCCATTGATTTAGCTTGGAAAGCGGGGAGAATGGCGCTAGGCTTACCGCACCGTGACGTCACTGCTGGAAGATGGCAGGAGGGAGGGGTTACTATATATGGGCAAAAATGGCCGCTCCCAGACTCAGTGATCGCCACGAAAATGATCTTTTTTATTTTTTTACTGATTAAGACTAAATTCATTAAATTATTGCAAACATATTAGGTTTCAGGTATAAATAATGATCCATTGTTTATTCCTTGCTGACCGGACTTTTCCATTAATGGGGCAAAATTAATAATACTGCTGCCAGAGTGAAGCATGATTGAGGCAACATATAGCTGTAGGGAGGAGCTGAATGCAGCAAAGGTTCTTCCTCTAGCAGGACAGCATCCATAAATAAACTAGCAAAGTCTTTGTATAGCAAAGCATAATCCCCAATGCAATCATAACTAGCAGTGTTAACAGATCCAGTCCAACTTCAGACATCTATTGGAAAATCTTTAACTTGCTTCCCAAAGTCAAGACAAACCTCACATTTTTAAGAATTCTTAAAAAATAAGTTCTCTGTGTTAGCTGCTTACATAATTTAACTAAAGTTTTGCGGTTGTGAGAAATAAATATTACAAAGTTCCAGTGTTGTCGATGTTTCAGTAAGAAACTGCAGAGACCTGCTCAGGTTATTCTATTTTACCTGGAACTGGTCCTGTGTGTTGATGTCCCGCACTGATGGGTTTGGTTGAAAAGAAGGGTGTGAGTGGTACCAGCCCACGACGCTGAAGCCCAGAGACGACAGCACGTCACAGGCCTGAGTCTGTGACAGCGGGTCCATCTCACACTGCAGACCTGTGCTCACGCTGTTACATGGTTCTGCTGCACAGATCTGCACACAAATAAGTTTGTCAGCTTTCAGCATAATTATATTAAAGACAAACACAAATCCTCTCCTACCTCCAGTATTTTCTCCTCCTTGTTAAACGTTCCACCCAGCAGACCAATGACTTCTCCTCTTGAGACGTGGGCATGCTGAACACGAAATTAAACACGTTAGTCCTTAAAGGAAAAGTCGCTCATATTCAGAATTCAAACTTCTGAAAGTTCTTTAAACATAAAATGATTCCATCCTGTTCAATAAATGATCAGTGTTTTTAATTCAGAGTCATTTTCATGTGAATGTGCTTTACTGGAGGCATCCATGTTTGTCAAAGAACACTACTGCCACCTACTGGTTAGTGACGTCACGGTGCGGTATCGGCTGTTGATCAAGTCCCAGTGCTGTATCTGGTGTTTGTCACAACGCGCTATTATCCAAGTCATCTTGAAAACATTCTTCTTCCAAATGTTGGCTACATATTACGGGTTTTTTCTCTGGCCAGAAGTTCGATGGCAAATCCTCCCTCTTCAAGTTGGCGATCCAACGACCAACCCGTCCGTGGAGGATCAGGAATCAGAAAGGTGGAATAACTCTTTTTTTTTCACTTTTACCCGATGTATTCCAGCATCCAGCTGCCATGCACGTGGGCATTGTCAGTTTCACTATAGCTCTGGTGAATTTCAATGGTGAAGTCCTCTGGAAATCTTCAATAATTGTTGTTGATTGCAGATGTGTCTAGTAGTTCCCATTGATTTAGCTTGTAAAGCGGGGAGAATGGCGCTAGGCTTACCGCACCGTGATGTCACGCTACTGTATTTGGGTAAAGATGGCCGCTCCTAGACTCAGCGATCGCAACGAAAAGGATTATTTGATATTTTTACTGATTAACGCTAAATTCATTAAATCACCGCGAACATATTCGTTTTATGTATAAATAATGATCCATTGATTATTTCTTGCTGACCGGACTTTTCATTAATACCCTAGAAAAGGAAGTAAAACTACCAACATGCATTATAAATAATACAATAGATACCATTGGATGAAGGTGTGTTTATAACATACCATGTCCATGATAAGAAGAGTCTCTGCACACACAATGACCTGGAATGGCTCCTGGAATGGAAATCCAAGTAACACAGAAAGTTTTAATACCTCATTAAATAATATCAGTGCAGCAAAGTACGCCTGCTAGTAGAAAAGGATTGGAGGAGGTTGGCGGCATCCATGACACAAAAAAGGTCCAACTTTCTATACTTCTCCAAACAATAAAAAAAAAAAAGGAAAAGGTGGTGGCTGCAGTTAATTGTGTTAACTAATAGACGTATACCAAAAACTAATCAAACATATTAAGTTATCACACAAATACACTTATATGAGTGCTAACGACATAAAACTACGGTGGCCCTGAAGTGCAAACTGCAACTACAAATCTAAAAGCGCAACTACATTAAGGAAAACACAATTACATTAACCTACCGGAAAAGGTAGGTACCAGTGGGAAACATGAGACATCGCTGATTGGACGACGGCGCCGTTTGACCCTTGAACCGGAAGTCATTCTGCCTGCTGCGGCTTTTGAAAACATGGATATTGTCGGCGCCCCAAACATAGCTGCCGTTATCCAGGAATATTTTGAATCAGGACATACGTACGAGGTGATACTGGATGTGCTCAAGACTAATCACGAAATTTCAGTTAGTTTGCGTACACTGAAGACACACTTAAAAGAAGCTGGACTGTTCAGACGACGCAACTTCCGGTTCAAGGGTCAAACGGCGCCGTCGTCCAATCAGCGATGTCTCATGTTTCCCACTGGTACCTACCTTTTCCGGTAGGTTAATGTAATTGAGTTTTCCTTAATGTAGTTGCGCTTTTAGATTTGTAGTTGCAGTTTGCACTAAGGGCCACCGTATAAAACACTATAAAACACTTTATTAAAAACCAAAACATCATTTCACGTCCCGGTTTACTTTTTGTACATAAATCTTGTCCTTCTGAGGCTGTAAAGGTAAATCTGTGTTTTGCATGGTTCAATATTGTGTCACAAACCTAAAAAATAATGGACCAGTTTAACAATGGAGAAGCTATTAGTCAGCTTTATATTTTTTTTAATACTTATAAACTATTTATTTTCTAAGAATGTGTTTATTTAAGAGTTCATTTCTGGTTGTAAATTAACAAACATCTAGATAAAGTCGACGATATTCTATTATTTTCCATGTGAGTCCCAGATTCTTCTTTGCCTTTTCTAAAAAGTGCTTTAAATCGATCCTAGCTGTCAGAGAGCTGTTTGAAGTATGTCTGTTCAGACTGTATCCACGTTATTAAATGAATTTAAAAAGAATGCAGGGCAAACAACAACGTGCATTAGCTGTCCCACAAGCACGGCTTACGCTGGAACCGACCGCGGCTAAAAGTCCGGTTCTAGGATTTAGTTTTTCTTCCGTTCGCTGCGTTAAATTTATTCCAAGCTTGCCAGGTCCCGGCTCCTTTACGTGGATTTTTCCACCATCGTCCTTCTGGTGAAAGGTTAATAACTCAGTTAAGATCTCACTGAATTGTGTGAAAGCTGCTCTTCAGGTTCATCTGTCGTCGTCGCCATAATCTCTACCTCACTGTCTGACTGCCTACAAGCTACATCACCTCTATCCCTGCAGCAGCGGCCAAAACTCCAGGAGCCTCAAAGCAATTCATTTAGGCGATGCTGATTGGCCAATATTTATTAATATTCCCTAGCAACATGATACAATTGGAAATTGTTGAATGAGAGTCAATTGGTAGATGTTTTGTTTTAATGATTCATATTACATGTAGCTATAAATTATTAAAGGGGAATGCTGTTTTTTTTTTTACATTGGTCCCTTGATTTTACGTTATTCCATCATGTTCTGCTCACCCATATGAGTTTAGTGTAATTTGGAGCCGTTCTGAAGATATTCCGTTAGGTTATATCCAGTAACGTCTTCCTATGGGCAACGACTTGAAGGGACAAACTAAACATAATTTGTTCTTTATGGAACGCCAGCATTCATAACATGTAGGCCAATCACTGCCCCCCAGACATCCGCCGTTAGATTTTTTATATTTATATCTTTTAATAACAAAGCGGCGCGTGTATGACATCATACGTGCGCGCCGGACTGGAGTTGTGACAGGCAGTGTCGCTACCCGATCCGTACCGGAAGCACGATCCGTACCATCAGCTCCTTTGCGCGTGCGCATACAGAATAACTTCCGGTGGCAATATTTCCTTTTTCTTACTTTTTTATTCTCTTGTATTTTTTAGAGGCATGGGTTTCTTTTTGTATATCTTTGTATTTTCGTCAATATTGCATTTTCTAAAAATAAAAAAACAGAAATACATAAAAAAGTTCAATCGCCTTGTGATAGTTACTTTGACTGCTCTGAGCATGCGCAAATATACGTCACACAGCGTATATATTTAAATTTGTTTAAATATTTGATTTACTCTGTCCTTAACTATGCACTCCAGCAGTACTGATCCCACAATGGATTCATTTGCTACCTTTCGTGACCTGCAGTTTTTCATTGATAAGGGAACATTTCCCGAAAATTTGGATTTTTATTCCAGAAAAATGACGTCAAGCAATACAATGGATTGAATTTAAAAAGCATTAATTTCTTCCAGAAAAGTCTTCAATATTGTCTTTACGATGTAGTTTAGTATTCTTTAGTTATTTAAGGATATAAATAAAGTTTTTTCAGTTATTCTGTTCGCGCAGGCGCAAATGAGCTGATGGTACGGATCGTGCTACCGGTACGGATCGGGTAATGACAGGCAGCCCGGGCCACAGGCGGCTACGCTGTACCCCTTCTATTCATTCTAGCTAATCTGAATCGTTCATTTGCAGAGCGAGATCATCTGTGGTAGCAGCACTAGACATCTTCCAGGCATGTGAGGAAAACTAGCAGCAGTTCAGCGGACAGGATGAATGAATGGTAGCCGGCGTGTGCGGATGACGTCATGCACACTCCGCTTTGTTTTTAAAATATATGACTATAAAAAATATGTGTGGGGGACAGTGATTGGCCTACATGTTCTGAATGCTGGCGTACCATAAAGAATAAATGATGAACAGTTTAGTTTGTGCCTTCAACTCGTTGCCCATAGGAAGACGTTACTGGATATAACCTAACGGAATATCTTCAGAACGGCTCCAAATGACACTAAATTCATATGGGTGAGTAGAACATGATGGAATAACGGAAAATCAAGGGACCAATGGAAAAAATGACGTTTCACTTTAAAATTACAGCAACTTCCTGAATGTTTCCAAAAATGTTTCCCCTTTAAGTAAAACTGACATTGATAATATTTTTAAAATCTCTATATATTATTTATGACTTTTCCCCTCCAAATCTAGGGACAGCAGCACCCAAGCGCCCCCTATTGGCCAGCTGCCACTGCTAGTGGCTACTAAGGTGCAACGGTGATGCAGAGAAGGTGTTTTTATGTCTGATTTAGCTGGAAATGATATAAAAATGCTGTATTGTCCATGTTGGGCTCATATTTTCTCAAGGCAGATTGTCTTTATATTTAACTGCAACGGTTAGACAATGAGAATAATGCTCACTGACCTGTACATCTTTCTCAAAAGATCTGCAAGGAATCAGCATGAATGGATCAAAAGACCTGATTAACAGAGATTGATTCTATGGTTAGTTTTCTCCAGCATAGAAATTAATACTCAACATGTGACTTGATGACGCTCACCCTTTGTGTCTGGACATCTTGCAGGGTTTAGGCTGCTTCTTTATCTCCTCTCTCCTCACAGCCAACTCCTCGGCGCTGAGGTGCTGAAAAACGTTTCACCCACAGACTCAGTAGAAATAAAGATGAGCATTCAAACTGGCTAAGATTCAATTCTATTCAGTTTATTTCTATAGCAGCAATTCACATCATGTCATCTGAAGGCTCTTTCCAGTTCACCAGATCATCCAGTCAGATTGGTTTAAAGTTTTCTATCTAAGGAAAACCAGCTGATTGCATCGACTCATTGACTCTTCAGCAATCTCTCACACTAAGCATGCTTGTAGCGACAGTGGAGAGGAAAGATGAGTGTTTATACCTCATAAGTCTGTCCTTCCAAATCTCTAGCGTCACACCAGTTCCCCCATACGTCCCGAACGCGCCTCTTCCTGGTCCGCTGCAATCAACCGGATCTTAGCTTAAGTCTGCAAAGCTCTCCAGCTGGTAACAGCATTCAGGAACCTACCATGCTCTGCAGCCTCTGAGCTAGCTGATAGGCCTCAAGCACTTCTTTGCCCTCCTTGGATTTGGACCGGTCCACCAGTTTGGGTCGATTATACACCGCTTGCTCTACGAGAAGAAAGCGTGAGCGCAGACACAGAGATAAAAGCGGATGCAGCTGAAGGTTTGCAACTTTACCACAGTTGAAGTTGATAGCTCCAATGAGCTCCAGGTAAGTGTGTATCCTGCCGATGCAGTTCACGTCTCCACAGTTCTTCAGACCAGGACGGACTGATGTCTTGTTCAGGTATTTGGGCTTGCTCCTCCGCCTAATGATAAACACAGCAGCGTTCAGCTGGGCTGAAGTAAAAGTCAGAGTAAGAAGGGTTCGGTGCTACCATTGATCCAGGATGTAGTTCCGTATCTTCAGATATCTTTCGGGGGTTTTTGATGGCCGACCCTCGAAGAACTCGGGGATGGCTTGTTTCTCATCCTCCGTGATGGTCTCTGTGTCCATCTCAGTTTCCTGCTCAGGGGCCTTGAGCTCTTCCGCTTCCTCGTCTTCGTGGTCCTGCTCCTCCTGGTCTTTGTCTGGTCTATTAATGACGATGTTTTCAGCAGAATCTGACCAAAAAATAAATAAAATCCCCCTCAGTGACAGATATATGAGGCTGAGACACTAAGCATCTCCTGATGGTGATTACCTGTGGAGTCATAAGACGCTACTGAGGGTTGACCAGCAGGTATGGAGGTTTCACACTGGGAGCTCTGGTCATCACTGTCATCAGCTGAGTCTTTTTCTGCTTCTATCCCAGGATGCTCCGTCTTTAAAACATCCTCATTTGATGTCGGTTTATCTTCTTCCTCAGTGCAAGAGATGACAGACGGTGGAGGACTTTGCACAGAGGAAGAGCTCCGGCAGGGTTGGTCCTTCATCTCCCTGATGTTTTCCAACAGGGTCGTCTCTTTCTGCTGCTCCGTGGGCCCTTCTGTTCGAGTCTCAGCCTCTGGCGTCTTCGCCGCTCCACTGATTTCACTTTTCATGTCCTCTCCATCAGTATCACTCAGATCATCAGTGATGTCTACATCCTCGTCATCAGAAAGCCTCTCTATGCGAACGGTGTTGATCATTGTGGACGGAGGAGGCTGATGCTGCTGCTTTGGGGGAGCTGCAGCTCCAGAGTCTGATTTAGCCTTTAGTTTAAATAAATAGGAGAGGAAGTAAGATAAGAATACGCCTGCGTTCAAATTTATGGGCTGCGTCATCAGAAGGCCAGATTCAAAGGCCGATTACGTCGAGGTCTGGTCGGATTCCAAGACTCCTCGTTATGCTGCCTACAAATGCGTCCTTTTTTTAGCCCGATTTAAAGGACGGGTCTGATGTATCCTCTCTATCCTTGGTTTTCCCATGATTCATTGCGAGACCAAGCAAGCCGGCTGCTCCGTGATCAGAGGAAAATGGTACTTGGCGCCGAACAGTGGTGAAAATTGGAAGTTCAGTTTAATAAAATGTGAAAGTATGTGAATAGTTCCGTCTGAAATGAATGAAAATAGTTGTTTTAATGGTTATTGAGGCAGATATGTACGGAAGAGGATTAGGGCCACTGAAAAAGAAAAAAAAAAAACGTTTACTGATTTAAAAATGTTATTTCAATTTAGCATGGGAAAAAAGTCAGAATTCTTACTTTAATCTCAGAATTGTGGATCTTAATGTAGATGGGCACCATGAAGGCAGAGATGTGGAGCACTCAGCTTCACTGACAAAGATGTGAGTTGTTTGAGAGGGCCAGTAACACATTGGTGGAAAATGGCAGAATTAGGCAACTTTTTACGTCCCCGAGGGGTCCCCTCATTAATGGAGGAGCAGAAGGTCATTAAAACAAGAGAGCTAGTCTCTGAAACAGACATGGCTTTGGCTTGATGCTAACACGTTTGTTAGCTGTAAGAATTCTGAGAAAAAAGTCAGAATTCTGAGAAAAAAAGTCAGAATTCTGAGAAAAAAAGTCAGAATTCTGAGAAAAAAAGTCAGAATTCTGAGAAAAAAAGTCAGAATTCTGAGAAAAAAAGTCAGAATTCTGAGATTAAAGTCAGAATTCTGAGAAAAAAGTCAGAATTCTGAGATTAAAGTCAGTATTCTGAGAAAAAAAGTCAGAATTCTGAGAAAAAAGTCAGAATTCTGAGATTAAAGTCAGAATTCTGAGAAAAAAGTCTGAATTCTGACTTTTTTCCAATACTAAGCTGAAATTAAATTTAAAAATCAGTTAACCTTTTTTTTTTCAGTGGCCCTAATCCTCTTCCGTAGATATGTGGCAGTAATGTTTGATTTATCTAAAGGTTTTTATCTGTTACTGTGTAAATGGGTTTGGCTGTAATTTAAGGACAGATTCTAATATATCTAACCTGACAACAGCCAGATGCATGTCTTGCTCTGCCTAGCTCCTCTCACATAGTGTGAGTGGAGCTAGGCGGAGGAGTGGGGACTATAAATCTGATAGGAGTTTAATTTTTAATTGCTGTTTTGCACAATTTGCTTAACTAAGTACTTTTTGTTGTTGAATATTAGAGATTTTGCAGATATATTTTTTATACATACATTGTTTAGATTTACTTATATATTTCTACCCCTTTTATAGAATAGAATTGAATAGAATATTCTTTTATTGTCCCACAATGGGGAAATTCTAGTGTTTACAGCAGCAAAACATTTTTAGAAAAAAATGGTCACACAAATGTGGACCTTAGAAAAATGTCTAAGAATAACATAATAATGAATAGTTAAAAGATAAACAATAAAATACTGTTTAACCTCTTACACCCTCAGGGGGTATAAATAAATTTCTGCCTGACAAAAACACACAAAAGTAAATCACTTATAGCCTCACAGCTATTAGATTTAAGAAGAAACTTTTGGTACCTCTGTAAAGGTAAGATGTCATAGAATGGTTTTCTGGTGTCAGCACCATTGTAGCTTTGACCCTGCCTGAAATATTAGGGACAAAATACAAAATATTTTGCATTTGTTGAACCTCGCCAAAATTTTCTTTGAAATAAACATTGCAAAACACTACCAAAATATTATTTATAGCACAAAAAAGTAGTACAGACTTTCAAATCTAAATGTTGTGTAAAGATATACCAAATTTGGACTCAATCAGATGAATCATATTTATTTCAGAATGGTATTAGTGAGAAATTTCTTAGGCGGAGGGGCCATTTTGGCACATTTATCCATAAATGTCACCAAACTGAGCCAAATGTGTTTTTTACATCAATACTGGGGGTTTGTTAAAGTTACGAGGTCACGTAGCAGCTGGACCCACCGGTGGGTCCGTAGGGTTCTACGGGTTAAGTTACTGTAAGTGTTTTAACAATATAAAACTGGAGAATAAATAACCAATATGCAGCTATGGACATTTTTACAGTATTGGATATTTGAAAATAGCAGCAGCATCAGAGATGTGCAGAATGACAGCAGCAGGTTATTTAACTGACTAAGGTTTCTATCATTACATTTGATTTGATTTGTTCCTGCTCCCGGTGGTTGGAACCTTTATTCCACTCTGGATTCTCATGAGTCTTTGTTCACTTTACAATTAAAATATTAAAAAGAAACTGTTTAGAAAGGTTCAGTATTCATTCTTTTCCTGCTTTGCGTGTCAACTGTCCCAGTTGTTAAGCGACAAAGCGTACGGCGGTAAAAGCGACCGAAGGATGGACCGGTTTGAATCTACAGCCAAAACTCTTCCGGTCTCCTTATTTTCACAGACTTTGAAGGATCCAGTCCTTGGAAGATGCAGCCCATGAATTCGAACGCAGCCAGAAACGTGTTTATTGATTATGAATTATGCTAGAAGCCAGAAGGGAAGAGAAATCTCACCTTTTGTTTAAAGTACTGCCTGGCATAACTCTTGACCTGAAGGACACTTCGAGTGTCCACCAGCTTGGCGATTTTTGTCCACCTCCGACCGTACTGAGCCTCAAAACGTAAAGAAAATTATTCATTTTAAAAGGCATAAACCACCGAAAAAAAGGGTGTCACTGTCGAAACATTATTTCACACGATTTGAGTTTTGATTTATCGTTACTGTTATCTTTTGATTGCAGAGATTGCCTCAAGAAAATTAATTTAAGGGGACCATCTTTTTTTGTTAAGACCCGTTTCATGAAAGCATGTTTGAAAAGCAATGTTTTAAATGACATTTGTTAGATTCAAGTTATTTCTGTGACCATTGTTGGACTTTTTATTTATTAACCGTGAGGTTCCAGCTTACCAGTCCCTTCTCAAAAAGCTCTTTTTCCTGTTTGGACCAGCGAGTTGAAATTGAAACAGAGGCAGAAGAAGAGCTTTTGGTTGGAGATCTGAACATATAACAGGAAAAGGAATCAACATTTAAAAAAAACCCAAAAACAACAACAATTAGGGAAAAAAACATTAATACCAAAAGTTACTTACTTCTTTACTTTGGGCTTTTTATTGGGATCACTGGGCAAAATATCAGGAATCCTCTCCCCCGTCAAATAATATCTTCAAGCAGAGTTAATTAAAACAGCTTATTGTTTAATGTTATCTGTTTTAGCCATTTTGAATCTACTTTGCAATCAAACTGCAAAAAACATTAGTTGCAAAGTGTTCATTTAATTATAGTTTCTTAATAATAGGTTGAAACTAGTGATGGCTCGCGTGGAGCCCATGGAGCAAAGCACTGTATCGCGTGTCGTTTCAAGAAAGTCATGTGACCGATCCGGGAGTTCTTTTTAACTGACTGGCTCACTAAACTGTTTAAAATCATACCTGTCAACATGATGCATCTGCTAAAAAAAATGTCTCTTTTGTGGTTTATCATAAAAATTATTGAGATTTTCGGAGCAGCCTAAAAGGAACAGGAAAGTTTCAGCCGTTACGATTTTATCTAAATTATCTGAATTAAAGTTCATTTCAAATTGACTCTTAGTTTATTTACTGTTTCTACTGTACTTATTGCTTTAAAAATATGATTTAAAATCCTAGTCCACAAGCATCCTCAGTCACATTTTCCCCTAAATTTTCAAGTTATACGTTTACATTATTTATTGGCTGCATCGAAAATTATCAAAGATATTTCCAATGTAAATATAGGTATAAAATAACCTACAATAACCTAAATTACATCATTGTACTAGGTCAGAGGTAACTAGTTAAAAATCAACGGGGTCTGAATAAAGAAAATCATCAACCAGTAAAGATCTGGAGACATTTTGAATCATAATCTGTTACTTTAAACAGAATTTAACACTGAAATAAAATGAGGTGTTTATGCATTTATGTTATACATTGACTTTTTAAATAAGAAATAGAACATTTTTCCATTTTAAATTCTAAAGTGTTTATTGAAGTAGAGAACAACAATCGTTCAGTTTGGTTTATAGATAATTTCCTGATTCCCATATTTTCTAAAACCCCTGAACTGATGGTTTGTTATTTCCTTTTTTTTTTCTGTCTTAATGTTGGCAGTGGGCTTTAGGCTGCCCTGCAAGGCTTTAAACCTGGGTTTAACCAGAGACTAAGCCATTCTCAAGCACATATCAAGGAGCTCATTTTGAGCCTGGATCCAGATTTATTGTTGATTCTGTTCATGGTGGAGAATCCTGCTTCACAGCAGCAGGTTGGGTACGGCTCCATCTAAATAGGTTTGATATTTTCAGATTTTTAGACAATCCATAAATTTGAACAGATGATAATTACAAGAAGAACAGCAAACAAAGAAAAGAGTCAATGTGAATTCAGATAAGCTGAGTTATAATTGAGAGGAACAGGATGACAGAAGAAGAAAATTAATTCAAACATGAGATCAGAATGCTCCCTCTCAGCTAAAATACTTGTTTTCCCCTGATTGAACTGGTCTGCTCTTTTTTCTTCTCTAAGATCCATTTTTCTTGATTAAACTGATGATAAACCGTGAAAGATCACACTTTTTTTTTTTTTTTTTTTGCATTAACAGCTCCTGTATCGGTCATGTGACTTTGTGCAATACGTGCACCGATCCAGGGTTTTGCTGTTAGATCTCGACACGAGCGTCGATGCATCGGTGTTGCTGGACCCATCACTAGTAAACATTTGACATTTAAATATGACTTCCCTACCACTTTAAATGCATCTTGCACTTATTTACAGAACCAATTGTTTATTCCAAAAAGGCTAAAAAAAAAAACAATCCACTGGACTTTGTTTCTAAGTTTGAAGACATTTCACTTCCCATCCAGGAGCTGAAATGTCTTTAAAGTTGGAAACAGAGTGCAGTGGATTTTATTTTCTCCTTTCTTGGAATGACTATAACCTGGATGACTGAGAATCTTCTCCAACATACCAATTGTTTACATATACATGTGCAATACTTTACTTTAACTGTAATATGAGATTACCTTCCAGTGCACTTTAATTCAGAAAGCTTCTCTGCAAGTTTATATATATTTTATTGCATATCCTGCACTTGCTGCTATTGCACTTCTGGTTAGAGCTGAACTGCATTTCGTTGCCTTGTTCCTGACAGTAAAGTTGGATCTATTCTGGTCTTAAAGGATACTGCTCCTCCATCAGCATCCTCTCTATCGCCTCTCTGTTCTCTGGGCTGATGGAGCTGTCCAGCTCCCAGGGCTGCAAACAGCAAAGATCATTAAATCACACAGTCACACCATCAGATAAAAGGCGGGATTTCACGGTGGTTCACCAGCATCCAGGAGCTGCTGCTGTCCACTGGCTGCTCCTGAACTAACCCCGCCGCGTCCATCTCTCTGCAACAGAAAGGAAACAAACTCCAACAAACACCGAAAGAGTGAAAATAGTGAAACAGAACTCTCTCTGAAAGCACCAGCTGGGCACGGCGGGGAAAAAACAAAGACTTCCTACCCTGCATTGCAGTTAAAATCGTCTCCCTCGATGTCAACATCCACTTCGTCCTCCATGTTGAAGAAAAAACTTAAACAGAGGAGAAGCGGCTGGGAAGTAGAGTCCAGCTCAGATCACAGCGCCATCTGGTGGACGGTGGACGGAACCTGATTCAAAACAACAGAAAGATCAGCCTAATGGGGTAAAGAAATTAAGCCCTGAAGCCAGAGTTTTTTTTATCAAGTTAAAAGAACTAGAATATTTCTTATATATTTCTTATTAATTCAGCCTGAATATGAATATTCAGGCTGAATTAATGTGAGAAATGTTCTGATCGATACAAAACCTAGGGGCTTTTTCTTGCTTTTCCTTTGCTTTGAGTGCATTTATACGTTTAAGCCTGTGTGTTAAATGTTTACCAGAAGAAATATTTAATAAATCAAAATCTTTGTGCCCAATTCTTTGTCTTTACTCTTATATTGGGTAATCATTCCACATTTATAAGTTTGTTAAAGGTTATTGTTTTATATGAAGATGAAAGTAACTTCCAGTCATAAGAGCAAATTTCGCCTAAAATTCCATATGTGAATTAAATCAACTACAGCTCCTAAACTATACATTGGAAATACAATTGCTTGTATTTGTGTGACAGAAAAGCATTAAGGAATATTTTTCAAGTGGAGCCACTATTTTAAATGTCACAATGTCTGATTTATAGATGATTAAACAAAAAAAAAAATGAAAAAATGATTTAGCCTCACCAAATGTTTTCCCAAAATAAACCCTGCAAAACATCATGAGAGCCCATTAGATACCCTGGATGAACCATCATACTCTACAGGTGCTGGTCATAAAATTAGAATATCATGAAAAAGTAGATTGATTTCAGTAATTCCATTTAAAAAGTGAAACTTGTATATTATATTCATACATTACATACAAACTCATATATTTCAGATGTTTATTTTGTTTAATTTTGATGATTACAAATGACAACAAATGAAAATCTCAAATTCATCATATCAGAAAATTAGAATATTGTGAAAAGGTTCAAAATTGATGGCCCCTGGTGCCACACTCTAATCAGCTAATTAACTCAAACCACCTGCAAAAGCCTTTAAATGGTCTTTCAGTCTAGTTCTATAGGCTACACAATCATGGGGAAGACTGCTGACTTGACAGTTGTCCAAAAGACGACCATCGACACCTTGCACAAGGAGGGCAAGACACAAAAGGTCATCGCTAAAGAGGCTGGCTGTTCACAGAGCTCAGTGTCCAAGCACATTAATAGAGAGGCGAAGGGAAGGAAAAGATGTGGTCGAAAAAAGTGTACAAGCAAGAGAGATAACCGCACCCTGGAGAGGATTGTGAAACAAAACCCCTTCAAAAATGTGGGGGAGATTCACAAAGAGTGGACTGCAGCTGGAGTGAGTGCTTCAAGAACCACCACACACAGACGTATGAAAGACATGGGTTTCTGCTGTCGCATTCCTTGTGTCAAGCCACTCTTGAACCACAGACAGCGTCAGAAGCGTCTTGCCTGGGCTAAAGAGAAACAGGACTGGACTGCTGGTGAGTGGTCCAAAGTCATGTTCTCTGATGAAAGTAAATTTTGCATTTCCTTTGGAAATCAAGGTCCCAGAGTCTGGAGGAAAAGAAGAGAGGCACTTCATCCACGTTGCTTGAAGTCCAGTGTAAAGTTTCCACAGTCAGTGATGGTTTGGGGTGCCATGTCATCTGCTGGTGTTGGTCCATTGTGTTTTCTGAGGTCCAGGGTCAACGCAGCCACATACCAGGAAGTTTTAGAGCACTTCATGCTTCCTGCAGCTGACCAACTTTTTGGAGATGCAGATTTCATTTTCCAACAGGACTTGGCACCTGCACACAGTGCCAAAGCTACCAGTACCTGGTTGAAGGACCATGGTATCCCTGTTCTTAATTGGCCAGCAAACTCTCCTGACCTTAACCCCATAGAAAATCTATGGGGTGTTGTGAAGAAGAAGATGCAATACACCAGACCCAACAATTCAGAAGAGCTAAAAGCCACTATTAGAGCAACCTGGGCTATCATAACACCTGAGCAGTGCCACAGACTGATCAACTCCATGCCACGCCGCATTGCTGCAGTAATACAGGCCAAAGGAGGCCCAACTAAATACTGAGTGCTGTACATGCTCATACTTTTCATGTTCATACTTTTCAGTTGGCCAACATTTCTATAAATCCTTTGTTTTTATTGGTCTTCAGTAATATTCTAATTTTCTGATATGATGAATTTGAGATTTTCATTTGTTGTCATTTGTAATCATCAAAATTAAACAAAATAAACATCTGAAATATATGAGTTTGTATGTAATGTATGAATATAATATACAAGTTTCACTTTTTAAATGGAATTACTGAAATCAATCTACTTTTTCATGATATTCTAATTTTATGACCAGCACCTGTATAGATCCACACCTAGACTATAATTCAAGCAAATTTGGACTGAATAAGTTGAAGCATGTTTGTTCCTCAAAGGTTTTAGTGGGCAGTGTGCTAGGAGGAAATGGGATTTTGGCACAGTGCAAAAATGCATTTATTCACTCATAAAATGGAATCTGGTCCGAGAAATATGCTGATTTCCATTAGTGGAGATCTTCTGCATAAGAAAAATCCTTTACTCCTAAGATTTAGCCATTGTTTCATTGAAATTTACCAATAATATCACCAAACTGAAAAGAAAATAAGAATAACATACCATATTTGTTTACACAGCTATAAAACAAAAAAAAATTGTGAACAAATAATTTTGAAACATGTTTTACAAATTTAAAAGCTCCATTTGAAAGGCGTGTGGATGAAACACCATGTGACTGTGAGATTATAATAGATAAGCATTAGCAGGTGTCAGTCGGGCCCTGTACCAGGCCTGCAGGCATTAAGGGGTTAAACAGCTATTTAAAAAGCCTTGAATGATTAGCTAAACACTCACAATTGATCTACACACACACAAAAAACTACAGGTTTCACCCGGTTTTACTGACCCCTCTCTTATATCCTCTGACTTTCTCATCACATGATATCAATTGATATTATCAAGAGGGGCTGTGGAGTTTGTGTTTAAAATGAACAAATAAAACCAGAGCAGGACAGAGGAGGAGTAAAACCTGTTTTATTTTATTCCTTTTTGACCAACTAAAAAGCCCTGCTCCAGGTTTGGGAACAGGGGCGCCATATTGGGGGGAAAGGTTAGGAAGATTCTAAGGGCCCTTAATTGAGGCATGGCCCAAAAAAAGAAGAAAGATATGTTTCAATAGATATTTCAAACATAAAAATAAAGCAGTTAAATCATTTTTGTATTTGTGTTTCCATCATTTTTCAGCAGTAAACAGCGAAACAAAGCAAAAAGTTTAAAGTTAATGTATATTTATTAACTTTGTCTTCTGATAATTTTCCTTTGTAGAACTTTTACTGATGAATGAATAGAAGTTCAAGACGAGAGATTACAATAATCGCTTACATGTCAGAACCACTTAAAGGACCAAAACAAACTTTAAAGTAACCCTTCAGTTAGATTACTCATTTTTATTCAGATTAAAAACTATTTAAGCTAAAACTCAAACTGGATGAGTATGCAGTTATGTTTTGCATATATATGTTAATGATAAAGTTTTATAAGATTATGTTTTACATATACATTTATATATAGTATATATATATATACATATAGTACATTCACCGGCCACTTTATTAGGTACCCCATGCTAGTAACTTTTTGGTGGCATAGATTCAACAAGGTGCTGGAAGCATTCCTCAGGGAGTTTGGTCCATATTGACATGATGGCATCACACAGTTGCCGCAGATTTGTCGGCTGCACATCCATGATGCGAATCTCCCGTTCCACCACATCCCAAAGATGCTCTATTGGATTGAGATCTGGTGACTGTGGAGGCCATTTGAGTACAGTGAACTCATTGTCATGTTCAAGAAACCAGTCTGAGATGATTCCAGCTTTATGACATGGCGCATTATCCTGCTGAAAGTAGCCATCAGAAGTTGGGTACATTGTGGTCATAAAGGGATGGACATGGTCAGCAACAATACTCAGGTAGGCTGTGGCGTTGCAACGATGCTCAATTGGTACCAAGGGGCCCAGAGAGTGCCAAGAAAATATTCCCCACACCATGACACCACCACCACCAGCCTGAACCGTTGATACAAGGCAGGATGGATCCATGCTTTCATGTTGTCGACACCAAATTCTGACCCTACCATCCGAATGTAAATCGAGAAATCGAGACTCATCAGACCAGGCAACGTTTTTCCAATCTTCTATTGTCCAATTTTGATGAGCTTGTGCAAATTGTAGCCTCAGTTTCCTGTTCTTAGCTGAAAGGAGTGGCACCCGGTGTGGTCTTCTGCTGCTGTAGCCCATCTGCCTCAAAGTTTGACGTACTGTGCGTTCAGAGATGCTCTTCTGCCCACCTTGGTTGTAACGGGTGGTTATTTGAGTCACTGTTGCCCTTCTATCAGCTCGAACCAGTCTGGCCATTCTCCTCTGACCTCTGGCATCAACAAGGCATTTCCGCCCACAGAACTGCCGCTCACTGGATGTTTTTTTCTTTTTCGGACCATTCTCTGTAAACCCTAGAGATGGTTGTGCGTGAAAATCCCAGTAGATCAGCAGTTTCTGAAATACTCAGACCAGCCCTTCTGGCACCAACAGTCATGCCACGTTCAAAGTCACTCAAATCACCTTTCTTCCCCATGCTGATGCTCGGTTTGAACTGCAGGAGATTGTCTTGACCATGTCTACATGCCTAAATGCACTGAGTTGCCGCCATGTGATTGGCTGCTTAGAAATTAAGAGTTAACGAGCAGTTGGACAGGTGTACCTAATAAAGTGGCCGGTGAGTAGTGATGGGTTGATGAGGCGTCATGAAACGTTTCGAAAAATTACCAAACTGTATTGATACTGTGTTGATACTGTGTCACTGAATACTGACACCTGCTGGACATTAAAAATCCCTACAGGCAACCTAGTTGACAGAGTTAACTGACACTGATTTGATGACCTATTATATACACTAATATGATGCAATTCATTGTATGATGCATTGTATTATTATTAAAACATATTTGATATTTTAGAAACAGTCAATGAATAATGA